TTTAATTATTTCCACGAAATATTTTATATCTGTTATTTCAGGCGTAACATTTGATAACGGCCAAAAAGAATTTGTAAACAAACTTTCTAAGGCCCTTCACACGCTAACCAGAGTACGCCCACGCAAACCAATACCACTTTCGGAAAGGTGAGAGTTTCTCCTATCCAATGATTTTGTTCGTTTGCGTGAACGTACTTCAGTTCACGTGTAAAGGGCCTTAAAAAGTTTGTTTACAAAAGCTTTTGTGTCGTTATCAAATGCTACGCCTGATTTATTTATTTATTGTTGATTCAATGAATTCCAACATTTATTAGTGATAAAAACTATTTCGAATCGAAACGTTTCATTTAGTTTTATGGTAATAAAAATGATTGCGCTGCAAGTAAAACAGTAAAATATTACAAAAGTTCAACTGTCATGTAGCGACTGTCATCGCTCGTCTCCGATTTATTTTTGTAAAATGTTGCCGCGCACTTAATTTTTATTCAGTTCCGGTCGAACGTTCAAACTTTCTCAACAGCATTGCGGCACTGTATGAAAGTCATTTGAAGCCACTCGAAGAAACATGGTTGCTAGTGGCATTACCAAAATATCCATCAAAAACCGTGCTGCTGTTTTGACATAAATTTTCCTTGCGCGTCTCTATCAACGTCTCTGACAAAATGATGTTTGACATTTTCACTGGAAGAATTGACCTTCACATAAACCATCGTCAAAATTTCGTTTATTTTTTGTCAATGACTTTTCGTCGTAATTCTCCTAACATAAAATATGAAAATTCGCTTATTTTAAACTTTGAATAAGAACAAAAATTACGGAGAAAAATTCATTTTCCTTCATCTTTTGGCTCCTTTGCATCTATATTTGCGGTAGTGTTCCTACAATAGTGAAATCCAATGTGTTCCTCTATTATAGGACACAAAGCTAGCAACTATTGCAACTATTTGAACAGTGTTACTATTAGGAGGACGAGTTTGCCAAAAATGCAAATAATTTAATCAATATGCTTTATTATTTAACAACATAGGTATATGCTTTATTATTTAACAACGTAGGTTGACGTATGCAAACTGTTTCAAGACGGTTTATTTATTTTTTAATAAATATAATGTCTTAGCTCTTCTATTGCTCCTACTTTTATTTTATTTTTCCTTGATTTGTTCTCCGTCGATCTTGTTTTCCGTGCTGAGCACCAAAGCTACCGACGCCAGGGAGGCAGCTCCCATACCTGGATCCTACCTATCGACCCATCAACTCATGAACCAGGGACCAACGGCTTTACTTCCCTTCCGAAGGAGGTATTATCAGAAATGTTGTAACGAGAATATATTCCTAGCCTAAAAATATCCCTTTTTAGTTATACCAATTGTAAGCTTTCTACAATATTGTAGTTTTATAGCCACCTATCGCGAATATGCATAATTTAAGGCGAATTAACTGGATTCAAAAATAAATTAAACCTTCGGTAAGTTGCGGAAATTTCCACAAATTACTTTCTATCTGTTCTTTTGTGTGGAAAGCCGAGTAAGTGGAAAGTATTGTTCCTAATTAGTCCGCCAGAGCCAACTCCCCGGCAAGGTGACAGATAATCTTAGTTTCACGTACCCACTTGCAAATAGTAGATGTCGCCACACAACGTAAACAAAGGGACTGCCCTTCACCGCCGCAATGGTATTTCTCTATGGGAAGGCAACTTTTTGTTTCACCATGTGTGGATGTCAAGCAACAAGCAAGAATGCCATGTTAAAAGAGCGATTTATGATTTTCGTGGTGAAATGAAATAAATCCAAACAAATTGGAACAGATTGATGGAAGTTTTTCTTATATAATCAAATAGAAATAAAAACACATTGGTTGATTCTATTATATTTTGCTCTTGAATATTATCAGTCTTGAGAATAATGTTTCTGAGCATACTTGTGCGGTGAAGACTTGCAATAAAAAGCCGTATTATTAAAATCAGTTTACTTCCCCATCTTTCTATTGAGGGGTGAAAAAAAAAATACAAAATTGATTCTTATTCGCGGTGAGTAGCAGGTTTGCTGTGTGAACACTAACATTTCGTATATTCATTCAAACATGAAGAAATAAATAAAATAAATTAAAATAAGCGTCTCTCAACAAAAGATATTCATAATGAGCTTCTAAAACGAATAAATTTCAGTGATTGTCTTTTGTTACACCCGTCGGTTTAATTAACATTGTTCCCCACCAACTTGAAGTTTCAAGAAACAGATGAGGCTATCTGTTTTTATGTTCAGTATTTTATTTACTTTATTTACATATCTGCATTCGCCCTATTCAGATAACACTTCTGAAATTTGTGAGATTGACAGAACCACCAGCACCAAATTTTCGGAGTACACTGGAAATGTACTGGACTTGTCAAGTTGCCCCCGGGTTGGCCAGAGCTACCAATAAAAAAAATCTGTTTAGAAAACGTACATTAAATAGAAGGTGGAAATTGCGTCGTAGCAAAAAGGTTCAACCAAGCTATTTGCGCGTCGCTCTTTAGTGGTGGAGTCAGTTATATAATAAAGATCAATTTTGTGAATTCAGTGCTAACATTTGAAAACGGCGCAAAAGCCATTTGTAAACAAATGGTTTGTGGGCCCTTTACTCGCTACCCGAAGAACGCCCACGTAAACCAACAGCATCGTCAGGAAGGGGAAAATTTCCCCTACCCGATGTTGCTGTTGTGTCGCGTGGGTGTACTTCAAGTAGTGAGTAAAGGGCCCACAAACCATTTGTTTACAAATGGCTTTTGTGCCGTTTTCAAATGTTAGCACTGAATTGATCGTAAATTTTTTTGAAAGTGATTTATAGTTAAAGCCTTAAATCTAAAATCGAAGTAGGTTCGCGTTGTCTTTTGTTTTCTTTCTTATAGATTTTAATTGTGAAATTGTGAAATTATTTGATTTCTAGAGTTCGAATAGTTTATACAAAAATTGAATTCAACCTAAAGTGAATTGAGTGTACTGTGAAAATTCAGGTAAGCCTTTTAGTAAATATATTGTAATCAATAGTGAGATTATCACGTTGAAAAGGCGTCGTCAAGTCCATCCAACGTGGGCTGCTAGTCTGGACTGGATTGCTTCATTCGAATTGGATTTTTGTTGTCTGGCCTGGATTCGGCTTTTCTGGACTGCATTAGCCGAAGGTTGTTCCGGCTACGAAGTCTAGTAACCCGTCCCGTAATTGTGGGGTTGGAAAACTCCCTGAGTTAAGTAGCGAAGACTCGAACTTGTGCCCGTGTGCGCGTACGTCCTTCGATCGATTCTGTCGATCAGTTTTCGGGTGGTAGTCAAGACGCCATTCGCGACGGCTCGTAACGCCAAGGCGTGAGGCAGAGAGCAAAGCCAACTCACTCTCACTCCACCAATCGTCCGGGGACGCACACAACGAACGATTTCATCGGAGAACATTCGAGACGCCGAGGGAACGCTTGATGTAGTAGATCGTCGTTGGAGCACCTCACCGATCGCCAAGGTTAGATCTCCCCTAGATACTGTGAACATTTAATTAAAAGAAGAACCCTTTTTGAGTTAAACTAAATGCGTGACGTCACCAGATCAAGCTAGGGTGTACCAAAAGGTGAACTGAATGTTTACAATAAAGTTTTTATGCTTGCAATTTTCATTAATATAGGCCCTATGTGCAACTCTTTAAATTCGATTTAGATATTAATCAATTTATGCGTATGATTGAAATATTCTATTTTTAATTCGTGTTTAGTTACCAACGATTTCACCTATTCGCGATCGTTGATTGATTGATTTAATTTAGTTTGTTTGTTCCTTCTAGCTTAAACCTTTTCTGCCGCTCAGTTCTGGTTGACTTTAGTTTTTTTTTGTTTTCTTCAATATATGTTCCGCAATAATCCAGTTAATTTGTTCATTTCATTGGGTCAATTTGTTATTTTCGATTCTGGAATTACTATTCGACCTGCCCTGAGAAGGGTAGTCTCATACCGGGTATAGAAAAGATAACGGTCCTTCAAATCAGAAGGTGGCTCTTAAGCCGTTGTCTTAAGTAACAGAGACGAACGTTACAATGTTATGCCTCAGAACATCCCGGTCACACCGACCCAGGCCTTCTGGGGTTAGAGGTAATCACGCTTACCACCGGTGCCGCTCTCTTGTATTCTTATATTCGGTAATGATCTCCAACATTCACAATTTTCCGATATATGAGCAACAACACTAACTAAGTAGTTTAAATGACTAGTCACGTTATGCGTGACTCCACATGCTCCGAAGAAAGTAAGGAATTAACCATTTCACATTATAAATCATCATCTCTATGGAATGCCGTTGAGAGTACCTCAGATTTGATTCAAATTCGACTCAAAATTGAAAAATCTTTCGTAAATTCGAAAAAAAAACAGAGTGAACAATATTTTACTAAGTCTAAGAGTATACAGTAATCCCCCCATATATGCGGGGAGGGGGGGGGGGGGGTGTAGTACCATTCATTGATTTATAGCGACTGTAACATAGTCACGACGCATGGTAGTTTAGATGCATAGGAGTATTTAGCGAAGACCCAAAACTTGATAACTAACTAAAAAATATAACTGAAAAACGAAAAACAAAAAAACTACATCGCTGATTTTGTTTGTTTGTTGTGTAAAAAGGCTAAATTTTCAAGGAAAAATAAAAAAAAACATACTGCGCCCTCTCTCTGACTACCAACCATGAAAACTATAAAAATAAAAAAAAATAAATCATTATTTTCAAAAAAAAAACAATCCGAACTTTTAAATATCATTATACTTTTCCTAAGAAATGTTTTTAATTACCTTTTATTTTATATATTAAACTTCAAAATTAGCCCAGTGATTCAAAAGTTATGTTTGAAAGTTAAAGTAATTTTTGAAAAAAATAATATTTTTTTAACCATTCTATATGGAATGCAGTTCTTTCAGTCGATGCGTCGTCGACTTTGGAAAGCAACCGTTTCGTGATGAATGTGTGAGTGCTGAGCACGTTTTGAGTCCATTGCTGCAATGGAAGCGCCCTGACCCCCGTTGGCGAATCTGCCATACAATGAAACCACTGGAAGCGGCTTTCGTTCTGGTGGAGGAGGCTTATTGGATAGCGGAAGATAAAATGTTTATTGACTTTGACTATAGTTACACCTGATTTCACCCATGATCCCCTTATTTTTCTTAGGGCGTAGCGCACCGAGGTTTTTCTCACTATTCTCAATAGAGGCATTTCTGATGGCTGTCGATTGTTCTTCAACGCTGCCACCTTCTGGAACATCCGTTACTGAGGTCTCAAGCTCTTTAACGAACCACCTTTCCACTGCTGGATCATATAACTGGCCCGAGTCTCTCCTCTCACGTCTAGATCCACGGTAGGCGTAGGCCAATCTAATTTATTCCGGACTTGATACTCCGGATTTGATTCTCAGTGTGTGCATCACGGGAAACCCAAGTGACTTTTTTTTTTTAGGAAGAGTGATCTTGGTGCCATTCTTTAAAATGACGGCTTTCATTTGTCTGTAAACATTCTCCTTGTCCACTGGCTCGACAGCATAGGTTTGTGCATAACATTAGGCCGTGATAAGGTTTCGAACTGGTGTTCTTCAATTGACGACGATGGGCGCATGTCCCCGGGGAGCGTTTCTTCATCCAATCCAGGATATAACAGTACCTGCCCAAACGACAGTTCTCCAAAGTTTGGCCAATGGATTTCGAATTTCAAGCGTCATGCTTCGAAAGTTGTGCGAACTTACTCTGTTGGGCTTATTTTAGTACATTCCATCTTGTGCGTTGTTTTGCGCCAAAAGTCGAAGCCATTAAATGATTTTGTTGGCTTCCATTGATGGTTTCTGTAATGGTTTTAAAACACGCAGATGGTAATAAACCGGAGTAGCTAAGCACCCGTATACAGAGATCAACTAACGTTGATAGGTTACGGGATCTTTTCCGAAAAAAAAAAGATGCAGCCCTTTGCCTTAAAGGATTTTCAAAGTGACTTGAACATTTTACGCCACTAACTTAGTAAGCCAAGATAATAGTAAAAAATTAATTGTATTTCAACGAAAGTTAACATCGACATTACATGACTTGACGGTTTAGAAGATTTATGATACATAGCATAAAAGTAACATTCACATGAAGTTATTAGTGCGCAGATGGCTAATCACATCCTGAGTAAAATTGCTGCCTTATGTTCTTAAGCTAATGTGTTGCACAGGTTGAAACAAATAGATATCAACAGAGTAGTTTTTCCCTGTCATCGCGTCACAATCCATCCGTTTCCCTTTTCTTCCTGTATGCAGAACCATCCAGCGGCACTATCACACATTTGCAGCACGATGGCAATTTAAACTTTTCCTTGTACGGTTGATTGGTCTTCGGATCGATTGCCAACAGAGTACGGTAATGATAAACTTGCTTGCATTCCGTTCTCGCGAAAAGGGGGCTTAGTTTCTCACATGGCTCTCCTCGTCTTCTGTTAAATGCAAAAAGATACAATTTACTAAACTAATTACCGAATCTACTATATCAATCAACCTACCGGCAAGTTTCTATTCGCACACCTTGCATATAGTCCTTGGTGTTTATAATCATGACTGATGTGTTATCCGTGGTGAATCCACTTTTTGGGTGAATCAGTCTTTCTTCGCTATCACAAATGTACTCAAAAGCATTTCCGTCTTCGTCCACGTTGTCAAACCGTTGAACAAGTTTGTCACCACTTTCCACCACAACGTCGTTTCCAAAGACTTCGGCATAACGATCCTTCTGTCGCCCTACGATGTCGTTTATGAGTTCGTGCGGATAGTCGAATACGTTGCTACAGACTGGGAACTCCGGGGTACATTCTGTTTTGTCAATTCTCGGTTCCAGATCGTTGGGGAATACGAAACGGGAACCTATAGTAGGAAAAGAGAAAAATTTTGCTACACAATTTTTGTACATAAACTTAGCAGAAAGCCAATTGCATTACTTGATTGTTAAACCAAATGATCCCCAAAAGTAAGAAGAAAGAGAGTGATTTGTGTTACGAGAAAAGTCAAGTCTATGTGCAACTGGTGGGTGTAGAAATATGTCGGATGGTTGTGTGATATGCACACTAATCGAATCAGTACGGTTTTACTGAGTTTTTGAATTGCGGAACTGTTCGGTAAAAGTTTAAAAATCTGTGGAAAATTTATTAATGAGAAAATTTGTTCTGAACTTGTACATACTTAGTTCTGTTAACCCCATTTAATGATAGAAAATAAAGTTGGTCATTTTCATTGATTCCATTTGAATTTTTACCGACTTTTTCAGCAATTCAAAACCCAGTAAAAAATACTGACTCCTGTAAATAAATCTTAGTGTGTGTATTTGATTTTGACTGATAGCTGTTGTTTAACGCTCAAAAATATATAAAAAATATTAAATTTTCTTTTATGCTTTCAATTATAGAATAGAATTATAGACTACCGGAGTAGTCTAAATATCGATGTAAAAAAGATTGAACGATTTAGTTTTGTAATTTTCGTTCTTATATCGACCATATTATTGCTAATTTATTAACAATGCAATTTGAACTTTAATGCATGATAAAATGGAGATTTGAAAAATTACATCTATTTAACACTATGTATTTTCATTGAGATGATTCAATCTTACACTAACAAATACTAACTTTCGATTATAACGTCAATAATTAGATTTTTATTTATATTCAGCAATTTTTAGATAAAAAATAAAATTATGTATTGAAGGGGATAACAAAGACATATTTTTACATTACATTACACCGGTAATCGCAAGTCAGTCCCATCTGCATTTTTATCAATTTTGAGTTAGCATCAATATTCAGTTTATCTTTCTATGTTTTTTGAGATGTGCTATTAAAAAATGAAAAACAATACCAAGAGAAATTGTCCCACAGCGAATATTAACAGCAAGTCAGTCCCATTAGGAAAAAATATGTTAGAAATGTTAGACAACACATCGCATCATGAGATTTGTCTCAAGACAGATTTTGTCCAGTTCCCCTAGGGTATGTGCAACATGTCCGGTGTGGCCAATATAGTTCTTACGATACTCAGTTTGACCGCCAATGGATATGGCCTTGAATTCTCATGTGATTTGATGTATCGCTAGATGGCCTTTGATGATTTGATTTAAAAAAAAATTACCACTTCCCCGGGGATACCCGGAATATGTCCAGGTATGGCCAACATGGTGCTGATCACTCATCATGACTCTTACTGATCATATTTTTGAATTCTCGCATGGTGGGTTCGGCACGTTTATGAAAAGCTCTGGTCTGATGAAGACCCATACTCACCGGAATATGTTCTGGCTATTGCTATGGAACCAGCGGAACAAATCCAGAATCATTCAATAACGTTCTATTAGACCATGGTATCTTTCTACTGTTCAATACTGTGCTGAACTAATGCAGCATCGTCATTGAATTGTGACTGACTTGCGGTTATTTTTCTCATTGACGTTAAATGTAATCGCAAATCAGTCCCACTCAGGATTTGTCCATAAAATAAAAATTGCACGATATTTTTCCAATATTTTTGGTAAACATAGCTGCATTTTATCACATTGTACGTTTATTTTTAAATTTATCCCTCCAAAATAAGTGTCAAATCAGAAAACATGTAAAAATTTTGAACGCCGTTTTCTCATTTCCAGTTTTTTACAGATGGGACTGACTTGCGATTATGGGCAGTACTCTACACACTAAAAAAATCTGAATTTTACTGGTGATGTAAACATCCATGCATGCAAACATTCATGCATGTAAACATTCTTTTCACGTAAACTAGCAGCTTGCAAGAAATGTTGCAAACAAAGGTGGAAAGTTGCATACAATATATGGAATATTGCATGACATGTCTCATAAATTTACACGATTTATAATGTAAATTTGTATGATTTATGACGCTCCATTTATGTGCATCATAGTAACGGAAATTTACACTACTTTTTTTTAGCTGTGTAGATCAATAAAGATTAAACATGTATCATGAATTCGCCATATTTAAATGAAGGCCAATCGATAACATTTATGTATACAATTCAGAAGGATAAAACTATTAGGGTAGATGGAGTAAGATGGCCACTACAGTGGGTCAAGTTGTTTTGTCGGATCATAACCCTTGCTCATTCGATATGTATTGAGGACCCCATAAACTGTGTCAAATTTGAACGAATTTGGATTGCGGGAGAACTTTTAAGTTGGTATGGGAAAATGTAAGCAAATGCTATTTAAAATAACTTTGTCGAAGATTGCAAATAAGCGGCGCCGATGGTCTAGTGGTAAGCATGATTACCTCTAACCCTAGCAGGTCTGAGTTCAATCCCAGTCGGCGCCGCCGGGATTTTCTGTGGCATAAAATCTCTTATATCGCCTCCCTTCGGAAGGGAAGTAAAGCCGTTGGTCCCCGGTTCATGAGTTGATGGCTCCATAGGAAGGGTCTAGGTTAGGTGTAGGAGACAAAATCTGCTGAAATCTGCTTGCAATATTTCTTGAATTGACAATTAAAAGCAACTTCACCCGAGTAACCATAGGCACGTTATTTCGCCTTTTTGGCGAATCATCAGAACTTACAAACACTGGAATAGCCGTTGTTCAGCTGTATATAACCAAAAAGGCGAAATAACGTGCCTATGGTTACTTGGGTAGTCCGGGATTTCAAATGTGATAGCTGTATTGCAAATTCAGCAACCCATTGCGGAATACTTGGTAGTTCACGTCCATTTTTAAGGTCACTTTCACATACAATAAGCTTTGAATATAAACACTACCGTTATCATATGGATGACATTTCAAACACACTTCCACATTTCGAAACGTGAAATTTTTAGTACTTGGAAATAGGCATTTACAATTGATTTATAAACAGATAGATCTCACCTGGGAGGGAGACACAGATATCACACGCGGCATTCATTTTGTAGCTTTTCTTTATGTCATGAATATTTGAGCTATTGAAATGAAATCCAAATAGGCGTAGCAATATTGGCTGTTTTACTTTGAGCGTGTAGTGCTTGTTTGACGTTGTGCAGTGTGCAGTGAGAAAATATCCTTTTCTGTTTTCCGTTTTATCATGCCACTCAAGATTTTGTCAAAAACCTTGGTGAATGTTATCTTCCAATATGGATTTTAGTATACATATGGAATATTCAATGAATGAATCTAAAATACTAAAATGAATAAGATAGCTAGAAACGACAGTTTTTCAGAAATTACTTCACGCAAGATTTCAATACCGCCTTCTGTATTCTTGTTCAATTGTAAGAAAAGCATCGTCAAACTGCTTGGCTCCCAATGACAGTTCCTGACAGCTTGTGGCTGGCTCCTTATGACGTTTATATGTTTCGAGTCTGGGTCTCCCTCCCAGGCTCTCACCAAATTGCGTCCCTGAAATTGCGCCGGTTTATTCATTTCACTATTTCGATCCTAATTTTTAAAATAACTAATCACTTTAAATAACTAAAATAAGTAGCTTTAACTTTTTGTACAGAGGTCGAATCAATTTTTAGGATCAAGCTATCTTGTTAATTTTTTTTTCAATTTAAGTCACAGGTTTGGTTAAAATTAAATAAATGGAAAATAATAATTCCGATCCATTTCTCATACAAATTTGACAGTTGAGGGATTCCATCCAGAATGAGCTGAAAAAACCTGAAATCGTGCTCGACCATCTTCGATTTGGATGATACTTTGCCATTATAATAACATACATTATAATGCACCTTAAATAATAAGATGGATAGGTACATCAATATTAACAACTTAAATAGGATGAAACTACGCCTGATAATGAAAATAAGTGCAACTTAACTTGTGTTGGTTTCTATATTTAAAATAGTAGTGTTCTTATTTCCCCTGTAAATTCTAAACGGGTTGTCGGATCGTTCAATCGTCAAAAGACAAATTGAAGGTAAATATATGTGTATCTTGATAAACTTATCAATGCTGATGGACAATCACGTATAACTTACGAAAAGGGCATATTTTCTACAAAAAAAAATGATTACGATGAAAGTAAATTTGAAATATCTCGAAAACGGTTACATTTAGGAAGTTTATTGATATGAGCACTATCGTTTGAAATCAGTTTTATAATCATATACTGACATCAAACTGAACATTTTACCGTAAATAATGAAATTTTCAAAAATGCCCTTAAAGTTACTCTTGGAAAAACTTTTTTATTAAAAGTTTGTCTATCCTGGAGTTTTTTTTTCAAAATTTCTGCTTTCTATTGAAGTTTTTATTAAAAAAATATAAAAAAAAATCAAAAATACGTTTTTTTTGTTATTTGAATTTTATGGTTTATTTTTAGTTTTTTTTTTGTAAAAAAACGAAAAAAAAATCCGTGTATATTTTTTTTATAAAGCCTTATTAGTTTCCTACAACTCCTTCTCAGTAAATTTTTTTCTACAACCAACTGTTTTCGAACAACATTTTTTTTAAAGTATGTGTGCAAAAACACATAGGCCCTTTTCAAAAATTACCCTTGAGTCAAAAGGGTCTCCTCTCCTGCGGAAAATACTTGGTCTATCATACTGAAAATATGTGCCAAGTATCATCCAGATCGAAGATAGTCAAGTTTGGTGACTGACCGATTTGGCGTGGAATTGGTCAGTTCTTTGCCTGTCTTTTTCAAAATGGCGTATACTCATGCGATCATCAATAAATCATAGCAGCATCATAGCAAAAACGGCTTATCTAATCGAAATGGCGTCTGAGACAAAGCTGTAGTGAACTGAATTACCTTTTCATAGAAAAAAAAAAAACACTGAAGAAAAACAAATTTGCGAAGTTTCATGGAATTCGGAGAGGGGAAAATAAAATCGATTCGTCAGTGGCGTGGATCTGTTCAATTATTTCTGGAGAAAAAAAAACTGTAGG